TTTATTTTGTGAATTAGAATCGAACTTATCGTACCACTTAATCTTTTTATCTTTTTCTTTTTCTTCTTCCGCTTTCGTTTCTTTCTCTTTTCCTTCTTTGATTCTTTGCAGAAAAGAAGTTTTCAAATCAGTACAGTTGTTCTTTCGATACAATTGAGTATTAACATTTTCGAAAAAAATTTTAAATCATCGTTTATTATAAAAGATTGATCGATTGTCGTCCTTCCAAAAGTATTAAGATTAAATATTTGATCGAAATTTGATTATAAGACATGTATCTGGACGAACGGTGGTACTTTACAGTGGTACATGTACTAGCATGCTGTCGAATGTGAGAAACCGTTTCTTCGATATACGTATATAACGGATGTATAAATCGAGAAAATGGATGTACGAATCGAGAAAACTTACCGTTTGGAGAATCTTGAGGACAATTTGGAGAAGAAGGACGGTCTCGCTAGTGGACTAATTGCATTCGTGTCCTGTGTATGCGTGTGACCCTAAAAAATTTGTGGAATAGAATATTATACAATGATGAAAAATCATTGATATAATGAAAAATCACATGTTAAATAAATAAAGATAGATTATAACAAATTATGAGGATATTCAAATATCGATATACATATTATCAAACATTTTTTTTTAGATAATTTTATGACGAGATTATAAATAATATTACGAAAAAAATTATGACTTACAAACCTGAGTATGATTTCGCTGAGCTCTATTCTGACCAGAATGAAACGTACTACGACTTGGAACATTTCGAGGAAATGCTGGTGTTGTAGGTGTTGCCAGTCTATTACTTGGAGACACACCCAAGCTGGTTGAAAATAAAATTTTTTTTAGTGTTGTATTAAAACTATTATATTTATACTTATTAGTGCATTTATATATGCTTATATATATTTATGAATATATAGATACATATAAACATAAATACATATTTGCTTTGTCCATAGCTTTTTTGCTAAGAATTTGTGCACCATACAAAAAATTTTTCGTTTTCGTTTTGTATATCATCCTTTGTTATAAAAGAAGCAAAAGATAGATTACAAAAAAATAAAATTAAGACATAAAGTAAAACGTTTATTTTCCACAGAAATTCTTCTGTGAAGTTCAAGGAGTAATTATAAGAATAGATAATGCATAAGCGATCTTTCTATGTCTTGCAAAACAAGCTTCGATAGAATGAGCTAAGGAAGCATAATTTTAAACAAATTAATTTAATTTGGCTAATGAGAGTTAAATGATATTGAATATAGAATGTACCGAAACTGAAACAGTTTACATTTATTTGCGTATGTTTCGATAAGAACGTACGATTATTTTTTGTTCTATCTACATTAAATTTATCATATAATACGTAATTTCATCAACATATATACGATGAATATATATATTCATAGAGAAAAAGGAATAAATTTGTTTAAAGATTAAGTATCAATATATGTGTACAATATATCAAAAATTTCATTTAAAATTATATCTTATCGATAGATTATCGATATCGTGATGATTGTATCTAGATATTCAATGAAATTATTTCATTTCTTTCGTTAACTTTTTTGCCATTGATCTTAATAAATATGTACACGAAATAAGTATACGCAAATTGGTATACGGATAAAGTAAAATGAGATGTTAAACTGCTTCATATGTAACGTACATATTATAGTTTCCCGTTAATTGTACGAAAGACAAGAAAGAATGTAGAATGGTGTTTGCTTGTTCGTGTGTGAACATATTGTGATAATTATAGCGGAAAAATATGTGCTAGAAATGAAGGAATTAGGAAATAAATGAGATGAAGGTGACCAAAACCAATGATCGGAATAGAAATATACTATGATATCCATGCAAATTGGAAATAAAAATTAGAGAAAACGAAAGAGATTATGAATAAATGACCAAAAACTATCCTAGAGAACCTACAAAGATTACTTGCATCATGAATGAAACATTGTATAACGTTTACACAAATATCATTTCATGTTTATTATCGTGTTTCATTTCGAAACGTGAACGTGAAATAAATTCTAGTCATCCTAAGAAAGTTAGTGGCCCAAAAGAGAGAAGAAAATAAATAAATGAATGAAAAAGATGTATATTTGAAAATCTCTTGCAATACAAACACTGCATCAATAGTCTAGCGTAGAATTCTACCGAGCATTGAAATCAGTTATAATCAGCGCGAATGAATTTTCCATACGAGTTGAAAAATTTTAAAAATCAATTTTTTAAATGCGTTCTTGACTGAATTCTTTTTATGAAGTATAATCATTTCAAATATATATTTCAAATATATTTTTCTATCCTATCCAAGATTTGATAATTAGATTATTATCGGTAGAACGCACGTTAGACTTTTGTCGCATATCTAATAGAGGACTGTATAATAGAGGTTGGCTGATAAGGCGTTGAGGATCTGTACCTCTGTCTAAGAGGGTCAGCAGTGGCGAGTAAGGAGTTGTGGGCGTTGCGTGGTTGAGGGTCCAGTAGTGAATGGTCGCTGGGAGCTACGCCACTTGAGGAACGGTGACCTGCACTGATGCTCGCAGACTTGGTGTGACCCCGTGTTGGTCTAGTGCCCTCGCCAAGGCTGTGTACAAAACTAATCAGCAAACTGCCCGGCCCTACTTTTAAATAGTTCCTATACTTATTCTCATAGATAATCTTTATTTTTTTCTTCTCGTACTTTTTATTTTTCAATTCATTTTTTTCTTTCTTTTTTCTTTTTATTTTTACTATTTAAAAAATTTAATTTTGTCATTGAAATTTTAAACGTCTTCATATATAATTTCTTTGTGACGCTTCTTTGACTATTCCGATATTTTTAAAGGATAGAATGTGGCAGAAAGGATCAAAAGGAGAATTAAAGGCATAGACGAAAATCAACGAATCAACTGATACCGAATATTGTTGTTGATTCGCGAATTTAGCCATCTAATCGTATTATAGTAGGTATAATTAGCAAGACGCAATGAAATTTATTGAACACTAATGGAATGTTGTACTATGTAATGTAATGGTTGTATTATGAATACGATAGGATAGGTAAACGGATGATAAATGTAAATTCTAACTCACGCATAGCTAATATTTTTAGCACGCGACAAGTTCTACGATGAGGGACATAGAATTGTGATGCTAAACATAAATAAATAGTGGACATATGTATGATGATGTTAATGACTGTTTTATACACACACACGCTGGTAAATCCAGTCATACGTTGGTAAAATATAATAGAGTAAAGAAACATGTGAATGTAATTGTGATTCAGTATCATTTTAGCAAGCATTTGTATATGTATATACGTTTATTTAGATCATTTGTTTCAGTAGATCTGTCAAGCCATAAAGAAAGTGATCTGCAATGAACGATTGGCAGGCAGCAGCCAACATGCTAGAGCAACGCAACAAACAAAGAAACTCCCTGGGGCTTATCGTGACAGATTTTTGTTATATCAAATGATTGTCATTTGTTATAAAAATGATTTTTTCTATATGATTCATTAAAATAAAAATCAATCACCTATGGTTAGTAAACGGTACAACGAAAAGTATTATTTAGTTAATAACGAAACGCCATAACGTATAAGTGATTCCGAGTCGCGCATATCCATGCGCATATTAAAGAAATTCATTCATTCGATTAGTGCAGATACTGGATTGTATAATTCATTGAGATTATTTCGAATATTTTTTTTTAAATTATTTCTAAAATATTCATAAACAAATTTCATATTGTTCTTATACATCATGAAAATAGAATACAGAAAAGCTGTTATACATGATCACACAGATCCAGTCTCTATGCTACGTTAAAAGAAATTTTCTTTTATTCCTTTTATTTATCATAGGAAAAAAAGAAAAGAACTATTTAAATTGACATACGATGTAAAATAACTAGATAACACTATACCTGGGTGTATCGTTGGTTCTTTCGGTAGATGAAGAGGACGTTTTCGCTTGATCATAAGAGATGGTACTACGTCGACCAACAGAACCAGGGGCAGGTGAAGTAAGAGGCCGACCACTACCTACCCCTGCATTCATTGTGTTGCTCTTTCCTGCCCATGCTCTACCACCGGGACTTGTACCCACGCCTAGAATGAACATTGTCACTGCAAGCCTCATTAGATATAGTTCAACACAAAACAAAGCAGCATACTTTACTTATACTATAACAAGCATAGCAACGAGTACAAATAAAAAAAATAATGTGTATGTGTTTGTATCGTATATAAAATAATAAAACGCGTAAAGATTATATAACGTCTCATCTGGTTCCATCCATAAAAGAAATTGGGATTTTCTTTGCAAGGATTAAAAAGACACAAATGCGACGTTGAAATTATATACATCTACAATCATAATTTTTTAACTCTAGATTATTGATAGTGCATAATGATATCATGAGTGTAAATGAATAAACTATTATCGTTGTCTATAGATACTTGCGATAGATTGTGCATCTTTCCATTTTTCGTCGGTTTGTTCATTAGAAAAAAATATAATCATTATTGATATATGATTTCAAGATAACATTAATCTAGAGTTAAATTTATTAATATTCATGCGTTCTTATTATGTCTTACAAATTAAAATCATATTTTGTAATGTAATATGAAAAAATTGATATTAAAAAAAAAAAAAAGTAAAAAGAATGGAAAAAAAATCATATAAAGTATGAATCTCAACTAAAACTTTGATAGATTAGAATTACAAATTATGACAATCTTATTTAAAGCAGAGCTAAAGCTTTGCACAAGTACAACGTCGCAAAAAAACAATTAGACAAATATAAGTTGAATTACGAAAAAAAAAATCACAAGATGACGAAAAAAACTCACTAGTATCTAATTGGCCAGGACTGTTTTTAGGAGCCGAAGGTCGGCTCGCAGAAACGCGAGCAGTATTCTCTTTGATCGTGGCCGCATCCACAGTATTTTGTCTCTTAAAATTACTACCAGTGTTTCCAGTTACAGTTCCACCAGTCGTAGGAGTTGCGTGATTATGGTTCGTTGCATTTCCTGGGCTCGGCGCTGCTCCTAACAAAATAAATATTATTTACGAATAGAATAAAATTTGTGCGTAATGATATGAGCTTGATCGATGTTAATCATTTTTTTTTATGAAAATCCTTATAATTGCTAATCCTTTAGCATAGACAACATTGAAAATCGGGGGAATTTCTTGCTGAAACACAGACCGATTTAATTCGGATGTCATGCAAATTCATTGCAATAATAAAATAAAAAGTTGATAAATTTATTCTTTTTATTTATTATATATATATATAAAATCTAATTTTATTTAGTAAGTTTCGCGTTAATTCGATTAGGGTTCACGTTAACATATACATTTAATATTATACACTTAATCCGGACAGATAATTGCTAATAACTGTAATAATAAATTTACAAATATAACTTGAATTCAATTATTTAAAATCTTTGATAAATAGATGGATAATACAATTTTTACTTACGAAGCGTTTCGAGACCGGATGAAACTCGTCTACTCGGTTTTGGATTGCTAGCAGAGATACTTCTATGAACACCTCTATGCGACGGACTCTGCACAGCACCACCAGTGCCTCCTCCACTTCCTCCTCCACCTCCACTTCCACCACCACCTGAACCAGCTTGCGGTGGAATGTTGCGCAATGACAACGAACTGCCTGATCGTGAGCCATCTGATTCAGGCTATGAAATGAATGAACTATTAATTTATATCCATTCATTGATTACGTTAATCATATATTATACACAATAGTTCTCCATGTAAATCACCAAATCTTTCTGCTACTCACATCAGTTGTCTTTCTTCCTAAGAGTAAGTACGTGGCGAACACGTCATCGTACTTTGCTTGTCCTAAGGAATCTTCTATTTCACTTCTTGTATATCCCATACTAGCCAGGGCCTCTAAAACAAACAGGTGTAACGGCATAGTCACAACCACTAAAAATACTAAAACGACAGAAATGAATCCAGAAGACCTACTTATATTTATATTTATTAATGCAAAAGAAACATTTCTAAAAGAAGCTTAATGCTTTTGCTATACAAAAAGTGCAATTACATACTTTTTTCACTACTAATGCTCTATAATTATTATTCTCATTATTATTATTTCTACTACAATTGTGCATTATTCAATTCAGAGATTGAAATGATTGTTAAATCGTAGACAGTAAGATGGGATAAGTACACAGGAAAAATCGTTTAGTTACAACCATCGTTGGTTTAAGTAAAAATCGTATGTCATTCATGAAAATATACATCACACGTTTGAACATGTATAATTTTTACGTATAATGCGACGCGAAGCAATATAACTTGCAATATAAAATGATAATAGAATCAAGCCATGCATTTTTATATTTTATATAGAAACAATAAAAGTAGTAAGTGTTATGTACATACTGGCAGACTCACCTATCCTCTTGTGGTCTTTATAATCAGGTTCAGGTTCTAAGTACGGTTTCAATTCGTCGTCATCATATCCCATGTTCATCCATTTGTCCTTCATAATAGTCTAAAAGCATAAAAACAGAATAGAATGTATATAGTACATTTTCAAAGATATTATAGGTTTGAACATATACCTCTAAGGATGCCCGTTTTGTCGGGTTAAGCACCAAAAACTTTTTCAAAAGATTTTCACAATCCGTGGACATGTAAAATGGAATTCGATATTTTCCTCGTAATACTCGTTCCCTCAATTCTCTCAATGTCGAACCGTCGAAGGGCAGTGATCCAGACACTAAAGTGTATAATATTACTCCCAACGACCACACATCTACTTCGGGTCCATCATACTTTTTACCTAAAAAGCATCATTATTGTATTATTTTTTCAAATCTCGAAATATATTGATTCTTGAGAAATAAAGGGAAGAAAAGAAAATTAATTTATGCATATCTACCTTGAAAAAGTTCAGGTGCTGCATAAGGAGGTGATCCGCAGAAAGTATCCAACTTGTTGCCTGGTGTGAATTCATTGCTGAAACCAAAATCGGCGATTTTGATGTTCATCTCGCTATCGAGTAGTAAATTTTCAGCCTTTAAATCCCTATGGATGATCTTTTTTTGATGGCAGTATTGCACAGCAGAGACAATTTGCCGGAACTTTGCTCTAGCCTCCTTTTCTTTCATTCGACCATGTAGGACCAAGTAGTCAAAAACTTCGCCACCGCTGGCGTATTCCATTACCAGGTACAATGTTTTCTCAGTCTCGATCACTTGGAAAAGCTTCACTATATTCGGATGATCGAGCATCTTCATTATTCTTACTTCTCGGAACAACTGAAATAACACGTAACATTATTCATATCGTAACGAAATATCATTTTATTCGATGAAATAAATATATAATCCAAATCATTTCTTACTTTTTGAAGGCTACCGGGATTTAATTGAGTCTTGTCAATAATTTTGATAGCCACTTCTTTTCCGGTAGGTACATGTTTGGCAAGTTTTACCTTGGCAAAGTTACCTTTGCCAATTGTTTTAAGTAATTTGTACTTGCCGATGTGGGGTTCCTCCGAGGTTCGACTTCGAGAAGAGAGTCGACCACCGCTACTCGACACTCCCACGCCATCCCCTGTCTGTAATAAATGTAAATAATTTCTAATTAGTAAAATCTAGAATATCTATATGAAATAATGATCTTCGCGCGGCGTTACAGCTGCAGCGACAACTAAATCTTATCAGTGGCCAATTTAATGTGTTTCGATCGAGTTTTTGCAATCAAATATTACAATCTGAACTGATTCTTTAAAATTTTACTTAAAACTCCACTCGATTTTATACGATTATGGTTGAGCGTCACGCGCTTAATTGACCTTTTATATTTTCAAAATTTTATCGAATTATAGAATTAATGGGATTGAATTTTAAAATATCGTTAAAGATTGAAAAAATATTTGAAAAATTATTAATTTCGATTACAATTATCTCTCTAAGGTCAGTTACCCGCGTATGGCCACGAGTGACCATTTTGCAAGAGGAGGCTGCAGCAACTTTTGAGGCCGCCAGTTTGATTGGTTTTTCCTCGTTGTCTTGAAAGATAAAAAAACCGACTTGCAATCGAGACGAGAAAATTGAAGAGTGTCAATCACTTTCTGCGGATCCGTAATAATTACGTATTGATAAACTTAAACTGATTATTCGTAACACTGTTTCACTTAATGAAAATAAGCGACTGTTCGATTCTATTTTAAAGATTAGCAAAAAAATATTTGAACGATTGGAACACCTAAACGAGAAATTCTCGTCTTCCTATTAGTTTTCTTTCCTAATTAATTTTTTCACGCGGCATACACTGAATTTTGATCACTTCAGATGACACATACATACACGCACATATGAAATATCGCGGAAGAAAGATAAAGATCGCAGTAAGTGGTAACATAAAATATATGATTTTTCGTCAAGTATATATTCTCTCTTAGAATTGGTATAATCAGGTACAAGAATATTTTTCTTTTTGGTCGACATATATAAATTACTCGGCTTTTTTATTATATCAAGGATAATTAAAAATTTTTTCCCGAAATAATATAGATAACATTGATCTTTAAATGAAAATAAGAAAAGAAGGAGGGGAAAAAAAATTCGAATAATTAGAGTTCGTAATCATACAATTATATCCATTCAAAATGAAATAAAACTTATTTTCTTTCATATACGTTTAAAACAGATAGATGTTGAAACTTTGTAGAATATTAATTACAAAAAAGAAGCAGAGCCATAATATTTACATTGTTTATTATATTTGATTAAGAAAGTTAGTTTCGCTTGAAAAAAGCGAAGGTGCACAGTTTTATTTATTGCTCGCACAGTCACTTCGATTAATTTCAATCCGATTACACTAAAAAATTTTTCCACTAATAATAACGAGATGCGAAAAGGATGGCGAGTGCGCATTGATGACGTTAAATGAGTCGAAATGACACTCAAACGAAAAGAAAAAAGTTAGCAGCGATTAAAGATTGAAACGAAGGTTTCGGAGGTGTGCCGCGAGCGCATATGCGTCTGACGTCACTAATTACAATTGGCGGCCTTCGTCTTCGGGTTAGGTCATGCGAGGATCGAGCGAACCGCATCTTCGTCTTCAGTCGGTCACAGATCAAAGTCGAAGCGTCGACCCCTTGATTCGACAAAAATAAAGATGAGGAAAATTTAAGAGGTGGTTAATCGTCGTCGTAGCCAACATCCAATGCGATGTCTTCTCGATTATTATTTTCTTCTTCTTTCTCGTTTTCGTTCACCGGACGTCACAGAATCGGTTATTGGTCAGAGAAGTTCACAGCCGAGGAACACGAAAGGAGAATCAATACGCGTAATGCCGCCACCCCTGTTGCTACCGTGCGAGCAAACTACCCTTGAAAGCCGAGCGTTTATACAAAACTCTCCTTTATTCGACTTCTCTTATAATTAATTCTCCGACGCGTTCATCACGACCAAGACCACTTTCACCACCATCGCGCGATCATGGCGGTGGCGGTGGCGGTGGCGGTGGCGGTGGTGGTGGCGACGACGACAACGATGAGGACGACAGCAACGACACGACGACACGACGATGAACACAACGATGGTTCGTAACGACGACAACGTTTGCGCATGCGCTAATCTCGGAAACAAGTGCCACCGCCATCCCGCTTCCCAATAATCTTTCTTACCAAAAGTATCAGACTAGATATGCGATCGAAACCTAAGTCTTCGCGTAGTCAGCTGATCACCCCAAAACAATAAACAGTCGTATCCGAATTTATAACGTTATTTTTAGATCGAAGGAGATCAAGAGTGCTACAAACTATTATATTGTAGCACGAGTTATATATACGATACGAATTATAAGTAATTTTTTCGATTCGTAAGAAGACATGATTTTGAATATCACACGATTTGACAAGGAATTGTGATTTAATACATAAAAAGTTAAATCATCGCATACTAAGAAGAATATTTTAGGACGAAACGATTGTAATATGATTCGAATCGAAAAAAAAAAAAAAAAAAAAGAAAGAAAGAAAGAAAGAAAATAGAAAAATGAAAAATAGAATGCAGAATGAAATAATGTAATGCAAAGTAAATCGACTATGATGGATCTCACAATTAATAGACGATGCATTTTTGTATAATCGAACGGACAGATAAACCATCCATGTCATTCTAGCTGAAACGGATGAGACTGTGACTAATCATGTGCGTGAACCAAGCTTATACGCGTTATACTCGGTTGATTAACCGAGGATTGCGATTACGTTAGTTTTAACATCGATAGTTTTCGATTTATCATTTCGATTTGATGGCTCAATATTTACTCGAATAAAAAATAAAAGAGAGAAATAAAAAATAAGAATAAAAATAAAAATAAAAAAAAAAACAAAGAAGAGAAAAATAATTTCGAACAGAAACACTTATTATCTCCTCTTTTTTTTTTTCTATCATTCTTTTAATCGCCTCCTCTCCTCTTTTTCCCTTCTTGAAAGAATTTACTATTTCTATTTAATTGCCGTCCACTATAAACAATATCTACCTCCTTCTCATTTTGCGCACTCTTCTGCGTGACGGTTGACAATGGTCTGACCGCACTGCTCTGTCGCTGTTGCTGTTGACGTTGATGTTTCTTCGCGTTGTTAGCCTGTATCAATACACGCGCTTGCGACACCCTAGCTTGCGCTCGAAGGAGTACTTCCGCTTCCTGTCCCCGCCTCGAGTCCGAGGCTGTCCTTGATAATTTTGTTGAAGCTTTCTTAGTAACGATGCCTGCATTTCCCGTCGAATTCCTTGTCGCATCTCCTCGGTGTAATGGAGACCTTTTCGGTGTAATTCACCGTGATCATTCTAATTCCGTTGTTTATGATTTTCCTACGATTTTACGTTAAATCGTGTCTTTGACACGTTTGTTCCCGCCCGATTCTATAAGATTTATGCGATTCAATAGATACACAACGAGAGATTCAATTTCGCTTCACGAATAATCGAACAAATGGACAAATGAACAGGAATTAAAAGAATCGAGGGTAGATAGATTAAAAGAATAAAATAGATAAAAAGAATAAAATTAATGAATAAAAAAATAAAATGATTAAGAAAAATACATATATAAATGACAAAAAAAAAAAAATAAAAAGAAAAGAGATAATGAGAGAGCGAAACACCAGAATAATACGTGTTGCGAATATACCATAGATGTGAAATAATTGCATTTCGTATGATGAGAAGAGAGAGAGAAAATGTTACCCCTCGGCCTCGTTATCCGTCACGTTTCGAAGTAGATCCTCGTGTTCCCTGTATCGGTGAAGGTCCGCGTATCGAATTTCCGGCTCGAAATCCGAGCTAAACTCCAACTGGCGCGTTCTAGCTGCAAGAGTGTCCATTTCGATGGCCTTGACCTGCTGTTCTAATCGTTGAAGCATATCCGTACTCTCGATAGCCGGGCCTTTCCGCTGTTTCAGGATTAGTTCGAGATTAATCGGGACTTTCGCATCATCGGCACATTCGTGTTGAGGCGCCAAAATAGGTTGAACGATCTTCGAGTCTTTGAAAGCTTTCAACTTCTCTTCGAGATTCGCGTCGATGGCGATGTTCTCAGGAAGAGTTTTCCTTCCAGCGAAGCTTGAGATACGTTCATCAACATCCGTTCCCGACATCTCTTCCCGAGGTTTCGCGCCGATTCTCTTTTCCACTACTCGCAAACTGTGACCGCACTCTACCAATTCCCATTGCTTTAGATTGTCCATCGTCGGACGAGGTGTCGCCACATACTTTCCGGAAGAAGTAGGACTGATATGTTTTTTCGTGGGATGGCGTTCACCGATTTGGCACTGTTTGCTGCTCTCCGTCGTTGATGTCACCTTCCCTGTCTCGAACCCTTTTCGCCCGATTTGCAATCGGATCGAATCTCTGCTCGGTTGCATCCGAGTGAATAGCGATCTCTCTTGATTCTCCATCTTTTCGATTAAAATAATTTATCGCGCGTCGTTAATGCGTGTTAACGATCAAATTTTATAATAGGAAAGGAAGAAATGCTCAGATTTCGATTGTTTTCCGCATAATCGTTCAAACCTCGATTAGTATTGGCAACTCTTCAATATGGACCCTTCATTGACCAAGTGGATAGACTTCTACAGGCGGATGGGTGGCAGCTCGATTTCTCTGTTAGAAAAACATGCGTTATCCTTGTTAAGATGTGCCGTTGGATTGCTTCGCTGGACGACGATCTTCGTCGACGAAGGGACGATTACCACTCTTGACACATTTTTTTCACATTTATTACCCAAAACCCGAGCAGAAGGAACGAGGCACGAGACACGATTCAGCCGATTATCCTTCGCCGGTATTATACCTTTCTTTAATTGGCAACAGTGACATATATGTGTGTATATATATATATGTATGAGTATGTATATATATATATATATTATATATATATTTTTTATTAACTTAATATATATATATATATATTTTATTAACTTAATATATATATATATATATACCGATAAGCAGAAAGCAACGACGGATAACAGGCACACTTGATGAAAGACAGAAAAGCTTTTTCGAC